TACTAATTATCATTATTATTATTATTATTATTATTATTGTTAATTTTGCTTCGTTTTCACGGTAATAGAAAAAAGAAAGTAAAAAAAATATGTAAGAGTCTAAACCAAGTGATTATTATTATTACTATTATCATTATTATTATTATTATTATTATTTTTATTATTATTATACGTGTGTGCACGGACATATTTACATACATAAATACATTTATTAATAATTAATATATGTAGAAAAAAATTTTTTTTTTTTTTTTTTTATTTTAAACGAAAAAAAAAATTTTATTTTATTTATTTATTTATTTTATTGATTTATTATTATTATTATATGTAATAGAATGAGTGCTTCCTCCTCATCGATATCGCTTTTCGTTTAATTATTTATTTAATTTTAATTTTTTTTTCATTTATGTATTGATTTATGTATATATATATGTATGTATGTATTTATGTATGTTGCTTATGTTTTATTTTATTGTTACGTTTTTTTTTTTTTTTTTATTTTATGTATTTGTAGTCGATGACAGTAAATTATTTATTATTATTATCATTATTATTATTATCATTATTATTATTATTATTATTATTATTATTATTATTATTATTATTATTGTTGTTGTTGTTGTTGTTGTTGTTGCTGCTGCTGCTACTATTTCTACTGCTACTGCTGTTGATGTTGTTGGGCTTATCAATGATAAAAATTATTTCATTAGTTCGGTTTAGTTTTTTTTTCAATTACTAATAAATATTATTTACTTATGATAATAATAATAATAATAATAATAATAATAATAATAATAATGGTTGTTGTTATGATTATTATTATTATTATTATTAATAATAATAATATTATTATTTTTTATTTATGTTTATTAATTTTTTTTTTTTTTTTACTAGTCAATCAATTTTGCTTATTATTATTTATTATTAATTTTAATTTTAATTTTATTATTTTATTTTTTTCGTCGTCGTCGTCGTCATCATCGTCATCAATTTCGTCGTCGTCGTCGCCGTCGCCATAAACATTATTATTATTATTATTATTATTATTATTATTATTATTATTATTATCATTTTAATTATTTTAGTCATATAAAAAAAAAAATTGTAATAAATTAGTATGAAGTGTAGTAGTAGTAGTAGTAGCAGTTTGTAAAAATGACTTTATTTCTTTATTTTCTTTCGTTATTTATTAATTAATTGATTTCACATTAAATGACATTAATACCACGCATTTTAATATCGTAATAATGATAATGATAATAATAATAATAATAATTTGTGCCAATTTTTCTTAAACTATGTGTTATTAATACGAGTAAACCTTTTTTTTAGTAGTTTTTCGGTTTCTCTCGTTTAAAAAAAAAAATAAAAAATCATAAAAATTTATTTGTTTTGTTTTGTTTTAAATTAAAAATTAATTAAAATATATAAAATACAAATACGTACTACTACTACTACTACTACTACTACTACCACCACCACCACCATGTATAAGATAAATTTTTTTTATTTTTTAACATTAATGAATGATGAAAATGGAAAATTTAATTTTCAATAGAAAAGAAAAGAAAAAACATATTGTAAATAAATAAATAAATGAATATAAATAGATGTAATAATAATAATAATAATAATAATAATAATAATAATGATAATGATAATGATAATGATAATATATAAAGATGATAAAAAAAAATGAGACTAATCACGTGAGTGTTTTTTTGTTTTTGTTTTTAAATACCAAGTGTCATTTGATGAGCCTTTGAAAATAATTTTTTTTTTTAACGTTTTTCCTCTTCACGCACACATAATTTATTAATAATAATAATTAATAATAATAATAATAATAACGCGATAGGAAAATAAAATAAAATAAAATAAAATTGTTGAGATGTGTTTATGAAATACGTGTAAATGTTTTTTTTTTTTTTTTTTTTTTTTCCCTTATACGGATTGGGATACTCTGATTTATATTTAATTATAATTAAAAAAAAAAAGGGATAATAATAATAATAATAATAATAATTATATTTACCCCCGCGTATTTATATTTATATATATATTTGTACGTGAAAAAGAATTTGTTTGTTTTTTTTTTTTTTTTGTATTTTTTCTTCTTAGTTTTTATCATTTTTGTTTTTGTTATTATTTGTTATCATTATTTGTGCTTAAAATTCTTACACGCATAAAAAAAAAATTCGATTCGAATATTGATTATAAAATAATAATAATAATAATAATTAAATTTACATGCACATAATCTATTAAATTTTTTATTTTTTTTTCCAAGTCTAACGATTTTTAAAAATATTATTATTATTATTATTATTTTACACACGAGATGATGAGGAGGTGAATGAGGAGGAGGAGGGGTAGAAGGGAGGGGAGAGTGGGGGGAAAGGAAGAAATCCTAAGAAAGTAATAATAGTAAATTTTTTAAATAAAAAAAAAAAAATTAATATTATTATGATTATTATTATTATTATTAATGTTGTCTTTCGCACCAAAGATTATTATTTATTTATTTATTTATTAATTAATTAAGTAGCTCATAAATGTTTTAAATATATAAAATTATTATTATTATTATTTATTAATTTATTTATTTTGTTTGATGTATTTATAATAATAATATCATCATCATCATCATAATCATAATCATAATCACCGCCATAATTATTATCAGTCATTATCATTATTACTATTATTATTATTATTATTATTGTTAATATTGATCACGCCAAATGAATAAATAAATAAACGTGTGTGAGAGTTAATAATAATAAATAAATGTAATCGGTGAAAGGTTTTATAATTAAATAAATAATTATTGCCAAAGTATTTTGTTTGTTTGTTTGTTTGCTTTATGTTTTGTTAATGTAAATTTGACATATTTGTCGTTTGTTTTGTTTTTTTTTTTTTAAATTATTCATGCTCAAAATGATGAATTATATAATGCAAACAAACAAACAAACAAATAAAAAACAAGTCAAAAATATAAATTCTTTTGCCATTGTTTTAAAATTACAAAATTTAATTTAAATTTTTTTTTTTTGATTGTCAATTTAATTTTAATTTTAATTTAATTTATTAATTTGTGATGAATGAGAATGTTGGAAAAACTTTAATACAAAATCAATATAAATAAATCTTACTTCATTTTTTAAAAAAAAAAAAAATTAATTTATTTATTTAATTTTTTTTCCCCATTTTTGTTTATTTTTGGGCGCCGCCATTTTGATTCCCGCGAAAAATTAATTTCATTTATATACGTTATTAACAATTACATGTATATTGGCGCCATTATTAGCAGACGAAATTCTTTTGGTAACTATAATGGCGTCGGTATCGGAGTTTAACTGAAAGTTAGTTTTTTATTTTTAACGTTTAACATGGATAAAATAAACGAAATCGGTTATATTCGCGTTTATTTTTGTAATTAAGTGATTTTGTGATAATAATTAAGTAAATTTTTAAATTAGTTTTAAGTTAAAACAAAGAAAAAAGTGTTTTTAAATTTTATAATTAGTTTTAGTAACGTTAACTTTTTTCTTTTTGTAAAAAGTAAACGTTATTATAAGTGATTTTTTATCAAGTGAATTATTTTATAATAAGTTTTATATTAGAAAATGTTTTTTATTTGTTTTCGGTCGATATAAAGTGAATTAGAAGTTTAATTTCTTGTTTTAAACACACAAATGTGCTCAGGATTGAAAAAATGGAAAACCTGTAAGTTATATATATATATATTTCTAATTTTTCAAAAAAAACTATTTTAAACTGTTAATTTTACATAACTGATTTGACTGAGGTTGTCTTTTGATCTTTCAAGGCTTTATTTAACATGTTCATAACATATTTTTCTTTTCTTAACATAAAAATACCCAATCCCCTTAAATCTCCTGGTTTCCAACAATCCAATTCAAATTTAACGGTCAAATAGGAAAGGAATGCATTAGAGGTTATTAATTTCCAAAAAAAAAACAAAATCTAAATTATTTATTGATTTATTTATTTATTTGATTGCTTTTTATATTATTATTATTATTAACCAGACAAGTTTTTCTTTTTTTTTAACTTAAAATTTTATTAGGAAAATAAGTAAAAATTCAGTAAATTTCAAAAAAAAATTTCAATTTGAATTTAACTGTAAAGCAAATAATCACCAAGATGCTTTTTCTCTATTCGAATTTGACGTTCGGTCGTAACCGTTTTGCATATTAATAATAATAATAATCTTAAATAATAATAATAATAATAATGATAAACTGCCATTTAATTATCACTAGAAAAATTAAAACACGATTTATGTAAATCAATAACAGGCAAAAAAAAAATTGATGATGATGATGATGGATGATGCATGATTTCACCGTTTTCATCGTTTTTTACTTTTATTTAAATTAAACCAAAAAAAAAAAAAAAAAATGAGAAAAAACAAAACACTTTGCTCATTCAATAAAATGAGTTGCGTCTATAAAACAAAAAAAAAATAACTTATAAAAAAAACACCACCGATCACTCATTCTTGATCATCACACTGTAAATTTTCCTGTTTTTCTTTTCTTTTCTTTTTTATGAAATGTTCACTTACGTACGTACGTACCACTTACTAAATAGTCACGTTTGTCACACTGAAAAACAAACAGGTAGACAGACAGACAAACAGACAAACAGACAGACAGACAGACAGACAGACAGATAGAGAGAGAGAAGAGAGAGAGAGAGAGAAAAAAAACCGTTTAACATATTTAAAAAAAATTGTTTTTTTAAACACCCCCCACGCGAGAAAAGATTCCATCTCTATGATAATAATAATAATAATAATAATAATAATGGTTAATAATAATAATAATAATAAATAAAGTCAAAGAAATTTTTTTTTCTTTTCACTCGGTCGGTTCACATTTTTTTTTTTTTTTTTTTTTTTTTTTTTATTAAAAAAAAAACTCGTTCGACATTTTCTTTCGACGCATCTTTTCATTTTGTTCCACAATTTTTTTTAAATGAAACTTTGAAATAATAATAATAATAGTAATATTTGTAGTAATGCAGTAGTAGTAGCAGTAGCAGTACTAATAATAGTAGTAGTAGTCGTAGTAGTAGTAGAGTGGAACTTTTAAAAAAAAGAGCGTTTCACCATATCCTTTTCCTTTTTTTCCTTTTCTTTTTCCTTTTTCCTTTTTCAGTGTACAGTCTTTTTTCTTTTTGGTTTATCGTTTGTTAATTTGTCGTCCATGTCTTCCGTTTCGCAAGATGTTTCCTCCGCTGAATTTGCTTCCCCCGGAGAAGGTGGCTCGTTTCCCATTCCGTAAAGTTTTATCTTCGTATCCGAGGCTTCCGAAGGCTTCACGATGATATCATAAAAAAAATAAAATTATTATTATTATTATTTCCTTTTCCGCTCTCGCACGTGTGCACGTTGTTAGTTCAAAGTTCAAACACGTAAAAAAAAAAAAAAAAAAAAAAAAAAAAAAATAGAAAGAGGGAACAACAATGCGAAATTTTAAATCTCTTACCTCGGCATCAATTCCAATAATTCGTATGAGCTTGAAACAACGTTCAAAGATTTTGTTTTTGTTTTTTTTTTAATATTTCAAAAAGTTTATTAAACATTTAAAAAATATTTATTGTAAAAACTCGCTCACCTTTACGTCCGTTTTGTTGTCGATTCCAGAATTTTCCGTAACGGGAGGACTTACTTTTTTATTCGATTTTAACGTTCTTTTCGTACCCGTCGTTATCAAATTTTGTTTGTTTTTATTGGGCTGATACTGAAGTTCTTGCGGTATGTAAATAACGTTGTTATTGAATAACGGATTCTGTATTTAAAAAAAAAAATTAAAATTAATTTTCCCTCTTTCCCCCCCCCCCTCCCCACAATCAAACCAAAAATATTTCCAACATACTTCGTGAGGTTTAAAATACATCGTGGGAATCCGAACTTCGCTCGAAAATTCTTTTAAATCGAAATTTGTCGTTTTCGATAGGATGAGTGCCATTGCCAAATCGCAAAGCGCCCATAATTTCTGTAACGAAATTAATTTTTAAAAGTTTTTCTACTTGCTACCGCAAAAAAAAATTTCCCCCCCCCCCAAAAATTTTTTTTTTCTATTTACGTAATTCATCGTAGCGTCATCCGGTTTCACGGCGTCCTTTTGATTTTTCATTCTTTCAATCATGTTTTTATAAAAGCTGAAGCTGTAGAGATCATTTTTTGTAATCAGAGGTTCTAGTATAAACCTGATGAAAGAAAAAATAAAAAAACAATTTCAAAATTTTGTCCAAAAAAAAAAAAAAATAAGGGGGGAGAGGGAGGAGGGGGGAATAATAAATGACACGATTTCAATTTACCACAAACAGTTTCGCATTTGTTTCAACTGTTCAAATTCGTTCGGATCCGTGAATTCGGGCAAATGTGCCAAAACTGGTATAGCAAATGTAAGCATGTAGTCTGGTAAAATGGCGGGGAGTTGAGCCATTGCTTTTTCAACTTTACCTTTTTTTAAAAAAAAAATTTGTTAGTGTTTTTTTTCGACACGTGCACACGTGTGTATTCTCAACATTTTTTCCAATATTAAAAAAAAAAACTTACTTCCCGTCGTTGAAAACGTCAAACTTTTCGCGTATTCTCTCCTCTTGCAAATATCCGACACCATCATTTTCTTTATGCAACCTTTCAATTTCTTATCTTGTTCCAATCCAGCCAGAGAGTATATTCCCATGAAATCAAGAGGCAAACACCTCCCGGGAAGAGGTTGACTTAATCCCTTGTGTAGTTTTGCTGAGAAAATTTCCCGAACTTGCGGAACTTCATCCTGCGTACGAATAACATTTATGCATAACAATCATAATAATAATAATCATTTATTGTAGAGGCAAACGTTTATACGTACCACCATGAGATGAGACAAATCGTAAAATTGTTCCGCGTTGAATTGATCTCCGACACCCTTTTGCTCGGATATCCTGAGCATGACGCACCCGGCTCTGAGTCTCAGCCAAGACATTTCCGCTTTGCTCAATTTATTTTGACCTGTCAAATCTCCGCAACTCGTTATGAACGCGTTTAACATGCGGAAAGTTTTTTGCGCCGACACGACGTCTTCTTTCAAACCCAAAAGCCACCTCGCCATAGTTTTCATTCCTTCTAATTTACATCTCGTTGTAAAATCCAATTCACTTTCACTACACCACGGTTCTTCCGAGGGATCGTACCTGGATTCCGAACTGTCCACCACTAATAGCTCTCGCACAATTTTACGCGAAATAATGTTTTTTATATGGTATGGAAATAATGTGGGTAAATTGTAAGCGATGTGACCCAGAGCGACGATAGCCGTTAAGTAATGCTCACTGCTCGGTTCTAAATTTTTTTTAAGCACCTATCGGAAAATCAAAATCAAATTTTTTTAATTACGGTTAGAATTTTTACACGTGTAAAAATTTCACTTACTTCGAAAATGTCTTTGAATAAATCGTGCTTTTCGGGCAGCAAATTTCTATGAAGACATCTCACAGCTTGCTTTGATTGTTTCGGCGTTCCCTCTTCGATAAATTTTCGTAAGGTAGGCACCAATTTTTCCATGAATTCGGGGAAAACTTCACCTAAAGTGAAAGCATCACGATAAAAAAAAACGCAAAAAAAAAAAAAAAAATTGACAATTTTTTTTCTTCCCCCCAACTTACCCAAAGGTTTATATTTTCCTACAAAAGTCAAAGCGGACAAAATCCAAGGAGCCACACTTTCATCTTCCATTTCCAAAAGTCGCATTAAAGCATTTAGTACATTTAAATTTAAATAATGAGCAGGATAAACAAACGATAAAATCTAAATGTATAAAAAGAACAAAACCCGATTACACTTCTTGTAAATATTTATAAAAAAAAAAAAAATAATTCAAATCCCCTTCGGGAATAAAAACGCGTACCTGAATCAATCGGACGCCTCTCTCTCCAGCCGTGCTAGGATTAAGACCGATTTCTTCGATACTATTCCCACCTTTTAAACAATCTTCCACGTAGCCAATGAGATGTTCCAAAGCTACGCTATCGATCATGACAGACGATATTCTTTCTAATAACATTTTAACAGTATTAAAATATAAATTAGTCATAATAGGATTTCCTAATGATTTAATCAGGACTCCCTGAAAATAAGCCCAAAAAAAAAAAAAAAAAAAAAAAAAAAAAACCGTTAAAAATGGGTAGTCGTTGATGAATTTAATTCATCATCCATCATCTTTCATTACTCACGGTTATGTGAATTGATTCTCTACAACTGATATCCGGTCGAACTAATTTGGAAAGTTGTTGAAGGAGTTCCGGTTGATTTAATAAATTATTTGAAAGTTTGACTATGTATTCTTGAGCTTTTACCGGATCGGGAAGAAATTTTGAAACTTGTGAAATTTTCACACTGATCTCCTGATTCCTCTCCTCGCTTTCCGGCCTATAATGAAGTTCCAAAAACTCGGATACGATTCTTCGGGCGCTAAAATTTACATAAAAAAAATTACGAAACCACATCAAAGGCTAATTTAATGACTTGTAGGTAAAAAAAAAAAAAAAATTACAAACTACTCCTTCTACTCACACGAGCTGACTTTTTTTAAGTTCGATAAATGCTTTTAAAGCGTTGTCATCAACGGTTCCTAATAAATGATATAGTCTTTTCATTCTCTCTTCCGGTGGCAATTGATAAGATACCAAATCCGTATTTAGTAGCCTTTCTACTAGAAGCCTGAAAATGAGAATAAATGATGAGATGAGGTAAAACGACGAAACAAATTGTACCAATGAGGAAAATAATAGCGTACCTATCTTCGTTACTTTGTAAATAGTAACCATGAAGTATTCTATCCTTAATCCAAGTCACAGCCTTCTTTGTTGCCTGAGGAACATCCGAGCTGTTCAAATGATTTTTGTAAATAAGACCCAAGCCTGACATTGCTTCCCGACGAATTTTGAACTGTTAAATTTACGAAAAATTTTTATTAAAAAACGGTTTTAAAGGGGCGCGGGGGGGGGGGGAAAGGAAAAACAATTCGTATTTAAAATAACCTTTTTATCTAATGTACGCTCTTTAACTAGTTCCAGTAGATCTTCACTGGAACTAACCACTTCACAGTCTTTCTTCGCAGTCGATACAATTGCCATAACAACACCGAACCGAACGTTTTCCTCCGCATCGTGAAGTCTTAACTTTAATGTTTCAGTCATGTCTCTTCGTAATTCCGGATGATTTAGTAAAAAATGCATTGAATATTGTACGCATTTGATGCGAATATTAACGGAAATATCATTAAATCTAAAAAAGAAAATGATGGAATTTTTTTAAACGCCGCCCGCCATACTTGTATGTTAAAAACAGACAATTTAAAATTTTATCAATCAATCAATCAATCACCTTCCTAAAAAAGCTCTCCAAAGTGGCGTATGATGCCTTGCTAACGTGCTATCTTTCTCAGAGAACATTCTAGCAAGCAATGCAACAGCAGCTAATCGTTCGGATTCTAATGAACTCTTTAATTTGCATTCCAACTGAGGCAAAACGGCTAATAAAACCGATGGACAAATGTGGTATAATTCATATATGAGATCATAAACTTTTGAACATATTTCTAATTCTTTTTCCTGTTTTCCCATTATTAAAACATTATTAAAAAACTAAAACAAATCATTTTATCATCATTATTATTATTATTATAAATTCTTAAAAGCCAATCATTTATTCTAACGAACTTAAAAAAATAATAATAATAATAATAATAATTTACCACTTGTATATAAGGTTCCAAAGTGTTACTGCATTTTAACAAGAGTTCTTTGGCTAACCAATAAGCATTTTTTCTACTAGATTTATTAGGTTCAACTATATTAATTAAAATTATATTTAATAATTCATTTGAAACTACATCACTTTCCGTGATTAAAGGACTAAGAACATCCAACATAAATGACTTAACTTTAGTCGAATGTTCATCACTAAAATGAAAGAACAAAATTTTAAAGAATCGTAAAAATTCACTTTACAAAAAAAAATTTTAATTTTAAATACTCACTTTACTATTTGAAACATTAACTGGAAAAGTCTACAAAAAATTTCTTGACAATCTTCTAATTCGAAACACATATTAAAACTTTTTACATAAGCCAAATTTTCAAGCAAATAAAAATATCTTTTAAATGCCGGATCTTTAGGATCTTGTAACCCGGATAGTTGATTAATTAAAAATATAAAAATTGTCTAAAAAAAAAAAAAAAAAAAAAAATAATCGAATAATATAAAATTACCAAAAAATTTTAAATAATAATAATAATAATCATTAAATATTTTTTAATAACGAACCTTGACTTGTTCCGGGTCTTTGTACGGAGCTTCAGGAGCGTAAACTCTCAACACATCAGCAATGCAACAAGCTATTAAAAGTTGAACATCCCTCGATGAATGATGCATGAATGACTCTTCTGCAAGGTGTAATGATAATGGAACATACTGTTGTAATTGTCCCTCTTCATCTTGAGCCATTGCTTGTAATGTATGTGCCAGAGTCTACATTCAAACATTTTTAAAAATTATCTCATTCGTTGAAATCGATATCGGGGGGAAAAAAAAAAATTCATTTCAAAATTTACCTTGAGTCTCCTAATTAACTCATCAGGACCCAAATCCTCAGAAATAGGCCTACAGCCTTGTGGATATACTATATCGTCAGTAGGCATTTTCCCAAGTCTAAAACCAAAAAAAAAAACTTAATATCGAACTAAACGATTATAAAATATTATACAACTTTCAATTCGATAACCTAAGTAATATTACAGTAATTACCAGTAATTAACACATAACTAAAAGTAAGACTAAATTGTAAGTGAACATATTTATGTATTCATTATTAATAAATAAACTTTTTTTATTTTAATATTACATAAATTAAAAAAAGAAAAAAGAAAAGGGAAAAGGTAATTGACAAATGGCAGTTTAACCCGCATTGGCGCACTTTGGTTATATCAGAATATCTACTCAGCAAATAATAATTACAACATGGGAAAAAGAGAAAAAAAATTTTAATATAATATGAAAACAATTCAGAAAAATCTATCACGTCGAAATTAAACAAAATTTTAAACGAAAGGAAATCATGAAATATTTACGAGATAAAAACGTAATATTTATCAAACCAACCAATTAATGCCTGGTGGGAAAATAAAGCTCATCGAATGGTGGTGACAACTGCACAACAATTATGTTTAAATTTAAAAAAAATCAAAGGAAAATTAACGAAAACCTTTCAAAGTATTTATTAAAAAAGCTCTTGTATTTTTTATGGAGTAACAGACAAAAAACTAATAATTGCAGAATTGCGATATAAAAAAAAAAAAAATACTTACTCAATGGAACAAAATTTTTTTTTAATTATCAAATGATAAACCTCCTTTCATTAATTACATTTTAACCGTGTGAAAAAATATAAATTTTTAAATCAGATACATGTGGAATTAAAATACTCAACACAGTTAAACTGTATTTATTTTTTAATAAGTTATTTTAAACGCAGGAAAAAAAAAAACATAAAAACGACGCTTATTTCACGAGTTTCATGCGGGAATATGTCAGACATCTTTGTTTTTCAGGCTCGACTTCCGCTAAGAAATAACCAACTTATATTTATTGACCTCAGTCAAATGTTTTATTTTTTCTTTTCTTTTCTTTTCTTTTTAATTATAAATTAAACGTTTAAAAAAAAAAAAAAAACGTTATTAATGATAATAATAATAATAATATTATATTTGCATTTATTAAAAAAATATCAAAGAGTAAAAAAAAAAAAAATTTTTTTTTGTAATTTAACGCGCCTATCGACTTATATAACATTATACTTTGTCATTTTTACTTTTTTTTTTTTTTTTTTTTTCTGGTAATTTATCAACGGTTTTTACATTAATTTTAATAATGTCAATTTTACTTACATAAAAAATTATTATTATTATTATTATTATTATTAATATTAAAAAAAATAAACGAACAAATCGGGAAATAATATTTTTAATGAAAAATTATATTACGTTTTAACGATTAAAATTTAAATATTAAAGGAAAAATTAACAAAAAAAAAAAAAATCGTTATTAGCCCACTTTTCATATGTGTAATGTTCAAAATTCTATCTTTCCATAGATTTTGAATTTTTTTTTTTTCTCGTTTATTTCACGACAATTATTATTATTATTATTATACTTAAATAAATTTCTTTTTATAAACAAATTTTATTATGTACTTGTACAAACAAAAACAAATTTTAGTTTTATGAAAAACCATTTAAATTATATCTACCACTACTTCTTCCATCTGTTTGTTTTTTTTTTCTCCAAAAATTTATCATCACATTTCATTTCTTGACGTTTTAAATATCTTTCTCTCATTTCGTACAATTCAATCGGTACGGACTAAAAAAAATTTCAAAAATGATTTTATAAATAAATTAAATTTAAATTAAATTTACATTAAATTAATATTACTTGATTAGCTTCTTCCATTATTGAAATGAGATCTCCTGCGTGCATCCAATTAGATCTTGTGAAAAAAGTTATGGCTTCACCCGTTTTACCCGCTCTACCCGTACGACCGACTCTATGAACGTATTCTTCAATATTATTTGGAAAATCGTAATTTAAAACTTTCCTGGGGGGGAGGGGGGAGGGGAAAAAAAAAAAAAAAAACAAATTTCTTAAATCATTATTTTTTATATATATGAAATTATTAAGGTGGCAGACTCACGTTATGTCGGAAATGTCTATCCCACGACTGGCAACATCCGTGGCAATTAAAATTTTAACGCAACCCGTTTTAAAATCATCCAAAGCTTGCTCTCTGTCCATTTGTTCTCTTCCCCCGTGTATGCATTGACACATAAAACGATTCAATGATAAATCGCATGATAAATCATCCGCCATGTTTTTTTTCCCAACGAATACAATTATTTTATCTTCTTCTTCTTTGAGATTTCGAAGGATATCAAAAAGCTGCCGATAAATAAAAATTCGTTACGGGTTACGCAGAAATAAAGGAGCGATAATAATAATAATAATAATAATTAGTATGAATTTTACGTAAGATTTTTTATCCCCTTCATTAATTATATAAACTCTTTGTAGAACTGAATGTACGGCTGTTAAATCTAAAGAACCGATAAAAACTTGAATTGGATTTGACATGTATCTTTTTGCCAATCTTTGAACATCATTTGGCCATGTAGCACTGAAAGAAAATATTTTTTCGTTTTTAATAATTAAACTAACATCTTCTTCATTTTGTTTTTTCAGTACCTGGTCATGACAGACTGTCGATCGGGACGAATATCAAGTAATAATTTTCTAATTTGTGGTTCGAATCCCATGTCCAACATTCGATCAGCTTCGTCTAAAACTATGTAAGTAATTGAAGATAAAGTAATATAGCCTAAAAAAAAAAAAAAAAATCAATTTAGTTTATAGTTAATAATCGAATTTTTTTTTTGATAAAAAAGACTTACTGTTATTTACCAAATCGTTTAAACGACCTGGTGTAGCTATTATAATTTCAACCCCCTCTTGAACTGTGTTTATTTGTTCCCTTCTATTACCACCACCGTAAACGCAAAGACTATAATTCAAAAAAAAAAAAATACGTTGAATTTAAATTATTTAAATAAAAAAAAATGTCGGTGATGGGGTTGTTTGTTGGGGTTACCATTTGATATTTTTATAAGAATATTTTTTCACTTCATTTTCAATTTGCAATGCAAGTTCTCGTGTGGGTGCAATTATTAGTACGTTGGGACCTCCTCTAGGTTTTGTCCCAGGAATTTTTTGACCATCGATGTGTATAAGAGCAGGTAGAAGAAATGCCAAAGTTTTACCTGTAAAATTAAGAAAAACAATTTTTTTTTGTAATCCTAATAATTATGGAATAATTCATCTGATTACCAGTTCCCGTTTGAGCAATTCCAATTAAATCTTTTCCAGAAAGTAATATTGGCCATGCTTGTGATTGTATGGGAGAGGGAACTTTAAATCCTTGTTTTTCAATTTCATCCAATATTTCCGGATAATGTTGAAATGCTTGTTCAAAAGTTTGAATCGGATTTAATATTTTTTCTTCAAAATCCATTTCATTATTAATTATGATAGATTTTTTTTTCCTAAAAAACAATTACATAACTTAATAATTTGAAGATGGGGGGAGGGGGGAAATTGACTGATATAATTACCTCAATTCCTCTACTTCTATTTCACTCATGTTAGCAATAACAGAATCTTCAATATAAAAATTTTTTATTATGGGTGGACAATTTACCCATCTTTCAGCTTCTGCAATCGCCTATAATTTCACTTATGATATTAATATTAGGTTGTATAAAACAGATATTTTAAAAGTGTTAAATCTGAAAATTCTTGATGGTTTTAAACAAAAATGTTTCCATTTCAAAAAAAAAACAATTACTTACAGCTTTTTGATTTAATGAATCCCAATCGATAAAAGGCACAGAATTTTCTTCGTTATGTGAACTTTTATACGTGTAAACATTCGAATTTCTCGAAATGATAATTTCATTTATTAAATCATTACATTTTGTTTTAGCATTTTGACTTCCGATTAAAATTACCTCTGTTAGATAATTATCATCTGGACATGGCTTACCTATCTATTATATTATAATATCTATTATCTATTGAATGTCATAATTGTATTTTGTTTTATTTAGGAATGAACATGACAAAAAAAAAATCAAATAAGTAAACCTTTATCTGTGCCCCAGTTTTTTCTTGTAATTCTTTTATTTTAGATCCATGTTTTCCAATAATCATTCCAATTTTAGAATTTTCAACTCTTATAACTAAATTAAACGAATCATTGTATGATCTCCTTTCATGATCTAAATCGTACAAAAATACTTTTTTTCTTTAATAATAATAATAATAATAATTGCATAATTAATATCAAACGTACTTAATTAAATTTTTATTTTATTTTCTTACTTTTCTTTTTACTACTGTAACTAGTATTTATTTGTTGTTGATCTTTTTCTTTATTGTTAATAGAATAAGTATCATTATCACTATTATTTGAAGGGTAAAAAGTGTTTGACGAAACTTGAGCTGGAGCATATGATATGTCATTTGGATCATCCCAATTTTCTTCATACATTTTTTGTACTTTTATTTGTTCTCAAGTAACTTAAAATTGAAAAATTTTTACGAATCGGAGTTTTCTGTGGAAAAAATTAAATAAATTTGAGTACTTTAAAGCATTTTAATGATTTAACGTATTTTAAAAAAAAGTTTTTAAAAATTAAAAAATTATAAAACACTCACTGACGTTACCTTTTTAGAAAGTTGATGCGTTAAGTTTTTTCAAATTTTAACAATAAAAAAATCGTTTGAACGTGTCAGCAGAATAATAATGTACGATTAAGACTACACTACATGCTTAATTACTTTCATTAAGAGTTTTTAATTTTTTTAAATTATTAACTGCACCGATATAATTTATTTTATTTTGACATACAAGTATGCATTTATTTATAAATTAAATTAAATTTTATTTTTTTAATTACATGTTTTATCCGTCTTAAAAGAATTATTCTTTTTAAGTAATAAGTAAATGAAATTATTCCAAGTCACATTTTTTTTTTTTTTTTTACAATTTCCACTCACAATGTTTTTATTCTTTGATATGATTTAGCAATCACATTAAATTATTAATAATTTATTGATTTCTCCTATTTAATTAAAAATATAAAGTAATTAATTTTGTTTAAAACTAAAATTTAAAACTAATTTTTAGTTTAGGATATGAATGATTCGTTAAAACGTGGTGTAAGTTAAATAATTTATAATAGTCTTTCATGATGAAAAATCCAAAATCAGTAAATGGTGTTAATTTTGATGAATTAACTGGTATCGAAGAAATTATATTAACTGAAGAAAATGGCGTTTTTAAAACTTTAGATAATGAAGTTTACATACCGTCGGTAAGTTAAAAAAAAAAAATTTTCAAAAAAAAATTAAAATAAAAACATGAAATTGTATTTCTTTAATTATTTACAATTTATTTTCTCTTTATATTTTTTTTTTTTTTTAGAAGCCGAAAAAAAGAAAAAATAAAAATAAAAAAAAAAAAATATCAAATAAGAAAGTGAAAAAGTGTGAAAAAATAGAAAAAAATTTAGAATTTGATGTTGATAAAAATTCAGGTTTTTTAGATCGCATGAGATCGTGGAACAGTTTTGGAATTCATGAAAAAATATTATATGCGCTGTATGATAAGAAATATTTTGAACCTACAAAAATTCAATCGAGATGTTTAGGTCCTGCAATTTGTGGTCAGATGGACATATTAGGCGCTGCAGAAACAGGTAGCGGTAAAACATTAGCTTTCGGTATTCCAATTGTTAATGGGATACTTTCGATAATGGAAAAAGAATTAAATCAATCAAGTGATAGTGAAGATTTGGAAATGGATGATGAGTAAATATTAATTTTTTAAAAATGAGATTATAAACTTTAACACGCTTTATTATTTATTATGTATTTTTAAGATTTCAGGAAAATGTCGATTCTAAATACAATTGTGTCAAAGTTGAAAGTTTGAAAATGAAAAATGAAAAAAATAATTTGTATGCATTAATACTAACACCTACCAGAGAATTAGCGGTTCAAGTTAGAAATCATTTAAATGATATTTGTAAATATACAAAAATAAATATCGCTTTAATCGTAGGAGGTTTGGCACATGAAAAGCAAGAAAGGATTTTAAATAAAAGACCTGAAATAATAGTCGCAACTCCTGGAAGACTTTGGGAATTGGTCAATGATAATAATATTCATTTATCAAATATAAAAAATTTAAGGTTTTTTTTTTTTAACATTTAATACATCAATAAGAGTATTATCAAGTTATTATTATTTTTTTAAATTAAATAAAAATTTTATATTCAGGTATTTGGCCATAGATGAAACAGATAGAATGTTGGAAAAGGGACATTTTACAGAACTTAACGATTTATTGGAAAGAATAAATTTAAATGAAAATAAGAAAAAAAAAAGGCAAAATTTTTTATTTTCTGCAACTTTAACTGTTGTACACGATCCTCCATCATATTTAAAAGGTTTTATTTTTTATTTAATATATATTTTAAAATTTGGATTTTTTTTTTTAAATTTACTTTAAACGATTATTGCAGGGAAAAAAAATAAAAGGATAACTCCGGGACAAAAATTACAAGATTTAATTAGTAAAATTGGAATAACTAATCCTAAAATCGTTGACATTACGAATACTCACGTGACAGCTGAAAATTTATCAGAGTTTAAAATTCTGTGTCAATTCGAAGAAAAAGATTATTATTTATTTCAATGTTTAAGGTCTCAAAAAGGACGTTTCATGATTTTTTGTAATAGTATTGGATGTGTAAAACGTTTGGCAAATTTGCTTAATATTGTAAATTTTAAGTAAGTCGTCGATCAGATGCCGATTTGCAGGGGGAAAAAAAAAATTTTTTTTTAAATAATGTCGAATGAATATTCATTAAATATTTCAGGCCTTTACCCTTGCATGCAAACATGGAGCAAAAGCAAAGATTAAGAAATTTGGAAAAATTTCGTGATAATCCCGACAGTTTATTACTTGCAACTGATGTAGCGGCAAGAGGATTAGACATACCCAATGTGGATTATGTGATACATTATCAAGTTCCCAAAACTGCAGAAATTTATGTTCATCGAAGTGGACGAACTGCAAGAGCCAATACGGTAGGAAATGCTTTGCTTTTAATAGAGCCTAAAGAATTGGGATTGTACAGGAAACTTTTACACACCTTGGGAAAAGGTTTGTATTAAATTTATGTACCATTTATATAACAAAACGACGGTGAAATTCATTTGTTATTATTATTATTATTTTTTTTTAAGAAAAAGATATCGAAGATTTCAATGTAGATGTAAATTCGATTAAAATAGTCAAAAAAATAATTAACGTTGCCAGAGATATTGATCAATTGAGTTTAGCTTTGAAAAGGGAAAATTCAAAAACAAGCTGGTATGACAAAGCGATAAAAGAACTAGATATAATTGTGGACGAAGATGAATTGTATCCTTTTTAATTTTACAATTTAAATTAATATAAGTTATGTATGTGTATTGTTCCTTAATTTACATTAACCATAGGCCTAAAAAAAGAAGTTCAGAAGCGGATGTTCGAATCAAAAGGGATTTAAATTCGAAAAAAAAAGAATTAAATCAACTGCTTTCAAAACCTTTCCTACCTTCAAATTTTTCTTTTAAATTTCCCGACATGAATGTAATCAAACATGATGAGTTAGGTGATTGTAGTCGAAGGGATAAATTGAAAATACCTGGTGCTTTCGTATTAAAAAATGTACCCAATGTTACATAACATTAAAAACAAGTCATTTTTTCAAATAAAAATGTGTAAAATTTTAATAAAATTGTTTTTTTTTTATATTAAAACATGTCTACATTATAATTAAATATTATTTTTAGGAAACTAAGGAGAATAAAACGCCTAAATTACAAATTATATTTCAATAAGTTAAAAATTTTTTTATTTATTAAGCCTGTTTCAACTTCTCAAGTATAGCATTAGGAATTTTTAGTTCGACTTTATGAAAAAGTAAATTTCGATTATGCCACATCGAGTTCGATATATCGAATTAGCATAGCCGTGTCTAATTGCGGTGTTAGTTGAGGTAGTGTATACTTATAAACATTTATGTTATTTTAATATTTAATATATATTACACGTGTATACGTTTATAAAAAATTTATAATAAAGTTTAAGCGTTTACATTTAATTATTAAAAGTTTAATTATAAATTTTTTTTTTTGGTTACTCATCACATGTAAAAAAATTAATAAGGAAGTTAGGTTAAAAATTTTTTTTTTTTTTTTATTACTTATTATAGGTGAATTTAAAGTATCTATATAAAGATGCCGTTAAGCTGTAGATTTTATAATGAAAAATATCCGGAGGTCGACGATGTCGTTATGGTTAATGTTAGAAGTATTGCTGAAATGGGAGCATATGTTCACCTTTTAGAATACAACAATATCGAAGGCATGATTTTACTATCGGAACTTTCTAGAAGGCGTATACGTTCTATTAACAAATTAATTAGAGTCGGTAAAACCGAACCTGTTGTAGTTATTAGAGTGGACAAAGACAAAGGTGATGTAATAATTTTTACTTTTAAAAAATAATTGACAAATTGATTTTACTTTATAAACACCGATTGTAAATTGTGTTGCAATCATGTTATATGCTAACAGTATCATTTGAACTTGTAGGATACATTGATTTAAGTAAAAGAAGAGTCTCTCCTGAAGATGTTGAAAAATGTACAGAAAGATTTGCCAAAGCCAAAGCTGTTAATTCAATATTGAGACATGTTGCTGATCTTCTAGATTATGAAAATGATGATCAGTTAGAAGAACTTTATCAAAAAACAGCTTGGCGTTTTGAAGAAAAATTAAAAATGAAAGCATCAAGTTATGATTTTTTTAAACAAGCAGTCGTGTAAGTTATTATTTATTAATTAATTTTTTTTATTAAATAAACAACAACAACAAATATAATCAAAAAAGTGTTTTTCTATTAAAAAATAAAAAAATGTTAATGATTCGGTAATAATGATTAAAATTAATAAAATATTAATATATAACAACATTTCGATAATAAAAATTACAACAACAAAAAAAAGATTTTACTAAATTTAAGGCTGACATGTTGTTTTTCAGTGTGCGGGTATTTCCACGATATTCTCCATTTTAATTTTTGTTCAGCGATCTGAAATGAAAAGAAAGAGAAAAACTTTAGTTATTTAAATTTACAGGGATCCATCGATATTATCAGAATGCGATCTTGATAATAAAACAAGAGAAGTACTTTTTGCAAATCTACAAAGAAAATTAACATCTCAAGCTGTTAAAATAAGAGCCGATATCGAGGTTGCTTGTTATGGTTATGAAGGTATCGATGCTGTTAAAACTGCTCTGAGAGCAGGGCTGTCATTGTCAACGGAAGAATTGCCGATTAAAATTAATTTAATTGCTCCGCCATTATATGGTAAGATAAAAAAAAAAATATTTATCATCATATTTTAATAATTTTAATTCTTTTTTTTTCGACTATGAATTTTAATTTTCAGTCATGACTACCTCAACACCGGAAAAACAAGAAGGAGTTAAAGCTTTAAGCGATGCTATTGTTAAAATAGAAGAAACTATCAAATCATTAGGTGGAGTCTTTCACGTACAAATGCCGGTATGTAATTCCTTTTCTTTTTTTTTAGCAAAGATCATATCGATCCGCCATCTTGAAAAGTATTTTACAAATATCGAGTAATGAAAATTTTTTTTTTTTTTTTTTTTTTTTAGCCTAAAGTTGTCACGGCTTTGGATGAAGCTGAATTAATGCGTCAAATGGAAAGAGCTGCTGCTGAAAATGAAGAAGTCGCCGGAGATGACGACGATGAAGATGATGAGGGACAAGTTTATTTGGAAGAAGAAAATGATAAAATGTACGACAAGGAAAATGGTCATAAAGACTCTGATGACGAAGACAATATGGAAAAAGAAAATGATGCCAAGTAAACGTAAGTATATATATATATATATATATATATATATATATATATATATTATGTATTCAAAAGAGAGAGAAAGAAAGAAAGAAAGAAAGAAAAAAAAAGAGATAAAAATATTTGGCTTTTTATTCAGTACCTTTTACGCTTGATGCTTGACCAAATAATAATTGAGTCTCTTAAAGACTGTTTTTTTTGTATTTCTCCTCCTATTGTTTTCCCCCTCGAATCATCTGTCATAGATTGTTTTACTTCTAAATTTCAAACAAAAAAACAAACGGTATTTATAAAAATATTAATTAATTAATAAAAAAGATTCAAATGTTAATGATTCCATATACTTTTATTATTATTATTATTATTATTAAAAAAATGATCTACATTTTTTAAAACTTTATTGTCTGTTTTTTTATTATTATTATTATTATTATTATTATCATTATAGTTATGAAACAAAACGAAAAAAAAAAAGTTCTTACCTAAATCTTATAACCGTTTTACCAATGGCTTCAACCGAATCGCAATGTTGCAAAGCTCTTATCACATCATGCGGCTCGTACACTTCATCGACGACAGGTAATAAATAACCTTTTTCAACTAAAATTCTTAATTTGTCCAAAGTTTCGGCTGATATATTAAAATCATCCCACTCGTTGACATTTCCAAAAACTTTCTGCGCACACACACAAAAAAAAAAGGGGGGGGGGTTACAAAAGGTTAATTGTGTTCATGGGAAAAGGAATTCATTTCGAATGATAAATCAAATTATACCTTCCACAAGCATTTTATTTTCACAGCGACCGTTTGAAATAACGACCATGGAAATTTAAAATTGTCATTGTACATGTGTTCGGGAACCGTGGACACGACTAATCCCTCGGGTTTACATAATTTCAAACACGATTCGTGCGTAACACCCCCGACGGTATTTAACACGACGTCGAATCTGAAAAACAAACGGTGTAAAATGGTAAATGCCATGGACCGATTTGAATTTTGCAAATGGCGGACAAGAAATATTTAAAAAGAATTTACTGGTCTTGTAATAGTTCGTTTTCCATTTGAATATTTTCATATGCCACCACTTTATCCGCTTTTAATTTTTTCGCAACGGGATCTGCTTTGGCCAAACACGTAACGGTCACTTCCCAATTGTAATATTTAGCTAATTGACAAGCTATGCATCCCACAGGACTGACACCTGAGTAAATTAAGACTCTAAAGTAAATAAATTATTCAAAATTTAATAATTTAATTCGATTAAAATTTTTTTTTTCGCATTATTATTATTATTATTATTATTATTATTATTTGTAATTTACCGTTTTTTATTTTTTTCGTTATCGTTTTCAACTATTCCCGCTCTCACGCATGCGTTATAGGCTAAACAACCTGAATAGGGTAAAGATGATGCTTCTTCGAAACTAATGTGACTAGGCATTTTAGACACCATGTTTTCATTAGCTATAATGTATTCAGCCAGCGTTCCAGAACACCAAAACGGAACTGCCACCCATACATTATCCCCAATTTCAAATTTATTTACTTTTGGTCCAATTTCAACGATTACACCGGAACAATCCCGACCCAAAGTTATGGGCAATTCATTTTTCGAATCCTTAAAAATTACAACAAAATAAAAATGGAACAAAATGTAAAATATTTGAAATTTGTATTTGTGTATGATGCATTACTCACTGAGTAAAAATTTTTTCTTAAAAATCTTCCAAATCCGCAAGATATTTTTATATCTATTATATCGATTGATGCAGCTTTGACTTGAATTAAAATCTGTTGAGGTTTCATTACTGTAGGTATAATAGCATCATCAATACAAGATAAGGCCTGAGCAGAAAAAAAATTTAACAATTGAATACTTATTCAATAAAAGTAATCAAATCATTTCTTAAACTCACATCTAAACCATCATAAGCCATACAAACTACTGCTTTCATTCTTTGTCCAGGAATCACACCCTGATTCCAAGATAATCCCAACAGGAGACCGAAAGCAGCACCGACAATAAATCCTGCACTACCAGGATAAAAAACAGGCACTAAAACGATTTTATTTAAGCATAATTAAAATAAAAGGCAACTTAATATTGTTGTAAGAATATTAAGCAGGATTTTGAATAGCAAAATTAAATTTTCTAAAACCTTACTCTCAACTGTTGCAAGTTCGGCGAGTTGAGAATACATTTGATTTGGTTGTGCCAAAACAGTCGAACATTGTCGTGTGGCATTTCTAATTAATGTAATTAAATTTCTAAATGTGTTATTTAATTGATTGCTCCATGATTGATTCCATATTTGTTGAATTTGAACTGATAATTCATCACTAAGTGAGATTGCTAAATATCTACCTTGCTGCAGACAAGATGTTAAATAAATCTAAAAATAAATTCAATCGAAAAAAAAAATTAGCTTTAATTAATAGAGTCGTTGGAAAATTATTATTATCAAAATTAAACAATTGTGACCTATATAGTAAAAAAATGATTTTTAAATATATCTTACTTGCAAGTTTTCAAAATGACGTGAAATGTGAAAAAATATTTCATCCATTTGTTCAAATTTATTTAAAATAATAAATTGTGTTTAATCTACAAAAAAAAAAAAAAAAAAAAAAAAAAAAATTCAAATTTTTATACATTATAGAATATGTATTTAAATATTCCTTTAGTAAACATGTAATTACATTTAATATCAAATCATTTTTTTTTAATAAATAAAAAAATTATAACAGTAAATTAAATTGATAAAAATGTATTACTACTAACAACAACTTATGATAAATAAGTTTAAATAAAAATGTTTAAAAAAAAACATGATTTAATTTTACCACCTAAAATAATGTGAGCGCCATCTTTAAAATATAATGCCGAATTGTCAAGTTTATCAATAGCTGTGGAACTAGACACAGTACACAGCGATCAAAGTAGGCGTAGATTCCGTAGAGTAGTTACCGCCGCTCATAAAAACATTGATTAAACATGTCTAACGAAGACACAAGTAAAAAAATCGAAGATCCAGAGGTGAGAAATAAATATTTTTATTTAAAATAAAAACTCTTGATAACGTTGAAAATAATTTTAAATTAAGAGTTTTTAACTGATTCGGGGAATTATGTCAGATGCCGGTTGAAAAATGCTACTTTATGTTAGTTACTAAAGATGCAAGATGGCTACCAACTCAATGTTGGGAATCATGTTGTGATAGGACGCGGGAACTAACGAGTATCGAATATTTGTGTTATTTTTAAAAAAATCATTTATTGTTCGCTCGAAATATATATTAAATAAATTTTATTTAGTGTTTTCGTGAAAAATAGTTATATTTAATTTTTTTTTAATGTTGTCGTGTTCTCATTTAATACAATTGTTATTTACTTACATTTAGTGGGCAAAAATTTTGTATTCGTTTAATTATTTAGAAAAAATTTTATTTATTCGTACTGGAAATGCTATTTGCGTAACAAAAAGTGTTTTTTAAAATTAAAAACATTTTATAATGTAGTATTTTTTTTAAAATTTTTAGACAGAGGAGGATAAATCTTCTCAGGATGAAGGAGAAGGAGAAAAAACTGAAGAAGATAAGCCTAAGCCAAATGAGAAAAAAGAAGAAGAAAAACCTGTTGTTAATGATGCTAAAGAAGAGCCCCCCGCAAATGATGATACTCCTGAGAGTAAGTCAATATTATTATTATTATTATTATTATTTTTTAAAAATATTTTATGCTACAACTTTAAAAGGTATTCAATTTTATTATTTTTATGAGATTCCAAGCCTAAAATTTAATTTTAATTAAAGTGTTTTGTGTGTCCTTATTTACACTACTGGCACAAATCAATTTAATTTAATTTAAATTATTATTAATGTTGCTTGATTTTTACTTAGCTCAAGGAGCTTCAGGTGATACAGCTGAAACAGAAGGGGATGACAAAGAGGAATTAAAAAAACCTGCTAAAAAGCGACCGGTTAAGGTAAACGATGAAGTTAAAGATGAAGGAGAGGAAGAAAATGAAGAAGAAACGGTTGAACAGGATGAAGAAATGAAAAATGGAGTCGAAGAAAAAGAATCTAGAAAAAAAGATGAAAAAGAAATAATAAAAAAAGAAGTAAAAAAAAAAAAAATTTTATTAATCGATTTACTCGATTTGTTTCCAATAACTACATTAATTAATTTTTTTTTAGGAGGTTGATGTACCTAATGGAAAAGGAACTGTATTTTCAGACTGTCCAAGAATTGATTTTTTTATAAAACAAAAAGAAGTTGATCAATTAAAAAAATTACATCAGGTATTATATGGAAAAGTTGGAAAACCTGATAAAATCAAAGGAAATCTTTTATTATTTAAAGGTTTCGATTATGAACCAGAAAGTGATGCCTACATAAAGAAAAAACAGTTTATCGGAAAGTAAGTTTTCTTTCGAGAGAGAGAGAGAGAGAGAGAGAGAGAGAGAGAGAGAGAGAGAGAGAAAAAAAATTGAGTTCAATGATTTAATTTTTTTAATTTAATCAAAAATAATTCTATGTAAATTATTTTGAAGGTTGGATGTAAAACATTTAAAAGACATGTGTGACGTTTTGGATGTTGAAAAAAAGGGAAGAAAAGAAGAAATTGTTAACAGAATTATGGACTTTTTAATGGATCCCAAGGACTCAGGAAAACCTTTGCCCCCTCAACCAACCCCTAGGCCTAAACGTTCAAGTGCAGTAAAAGCTAATAATAGAGGTTATGCTGGGTAATTGAGATTTTAATAATTGTTTCACGTGTTACTTCGAACTAATTTTTACTTATTATGGCTTTTATTTATTTTAGTTTGGATGCAGATGATTCAGATGACGAAGAAGGAGGACGAGGTCGCGGACGGGCAACAGGTAGACGAAATAAATCTCGACCAAGTTATAAAGATGAGAGTAGTTCGGAAGATGAAAGACGAGGAAGAAAAGGAGGAGGGAAAAAATATGCTGAAAGTGACGACGACGACGACGACGACGATGATGATGAAGAAGCAGAATCGGAACCAGAATTAACCCCTAGTGAATCCGACTCAGATGTAAGGAAATTAAAAAAAAAAATTTTTTTTTTGGTGTAATTTTTTATAATTTATTAATTATTACACAATTTAGTCTCCGAAAAAGAAAAAAACAATGGGAACAAAATCAAAAGGAAAAGGTCCCGCTAAGCGAAAAGCTCCCATGAAAGGTGGGAAAAAAACTCCCGGGAGAAAAGGGAAAAAGAAGGCTGATTCCGAGTCGGAAGGACCATCAGAATCAGAAGATGAACCGTTGCAAAAGAAGTCGAGAAAACCTCCTACTGTAAGTTGGAAACCTTTTTCACCTTTAAGTTTTTTTATTAAAATATTAAAAAGGGTTTTCAAATTGTAAAATTTATTGATCCTTCAGGATGAAGAAATCAAAAAATATGTCAAACAAATTCTCGACGGAGCCAATCTTGAAGAAATAACAATGAAAACAGTATGCAAACAAGTTTACGGTCGTTATCCGGATCACGATTTAACACACAAAAAGGACCTCATAAAAACAACCGTTAAATCTGTAAGAATTTTAAATAAAATCTTTTTTTTTTTTTATAGTTATTAGATGATTAATAAGGAATTTTAATAAGTAATAACAAATTATTATTTTCTTACAGTTGATTGCAACGTGAACGAACATGATAGTGAAAACAAACACAAAACAAAAAAAAATAAAAATAAAAAAAAATTTGATTATAATTAAAAAAAATTAAAAAAAAAAGGGGGAAAAATATAATAAATAATAAAATACGAACGGTTAACATACACACACACACACACAGAAAAACTTTTGCCTGGCCGCCATGTTTTTAAAAAACTACAAATAAGATGATGATGATGATGATGATATTTTTTCTACAATCGGAAATATTTATAGGATAAACATTGCTTGCTCATCTGATCACCACCACAACTCTCAAAGGAAAAGAAAGAATGGAAAGAATGGAAAAAAGAAAAAAGTTTCTTTATTATTATTATTATTATTATTATTATTATTTTATTTTATTTTTGTAAATCAAATAATTTTTATTATTATTATTATCACGACTACTATTACTTTTACTACTGATACTGATGTTTTTTTTTTTTCTCTCGCATGAATGTGTCTTTTAATTTGAAAAGAAATTATTATTATTATTATTATTATTATTATTATTATTATCGAACCTAGATCGTTTAGGTTGTTGTTGTTGTTGTTGTAAAATTTGAGACATATGATTTGTGTGCAATTAGAATTAGTTTATCGTACAATGATTCAATTGTATTTGGGGTTTTTTTTTCTTTTATATATTTATTAAAAATCAAATAATAATAATAATAATAATAATAATAATAATAATATGGAAAATGATGATGATGATGTTAATGACGATTATGATGATGATAATGATTATAATAAAAGGTAAACTCAAATCGGACATGATAGTATATAAATATATATTGTAACAGTAATTTTAGTTATTAGAACAGGTTACCAGGTTTTTACATGTAATACATAATGATAATAAATGTAGATGAATATACTCCGGAAAAAGGAAAAGAAAAGAAAAATAATTTTTATAAGAAAATGATTTGGTTTTATTTACACACACGCCCCCGCCCCGCCCCGCCCTCCCCATCCTTTAAACATAGACACACAAAAGGAGAAAAATTTATATGGAAAAGTCGACGACATGAGTGATTTTACAATCTAATTAATTTTTTGTTTTTTTTTTTTGTTTTACAATGAATTAAATTTGTTTTATTAAAATGATTATTAATAATAATAATAATAATAATAATAATAATAATGATTGTATTTATAAAATTAAAGAT